TAATACTGTACAAAGCAGTGTTGCTTAGTTTAAAGTTTTCTTGGCACAAATGTGAGACAATCACATTTTTTATCAGCTTGAGTGACCTTAACTGTTTACTCCTTTACTTCTAAAGTGTGATTTTTAATGGATATTTAATATATAATCGTTGTTAGGATTTTTTTTTTCTCTGCATTTTACTCATTGCTACCTTTCACTTCTCTTGGGCAGCAGTATCTGGGTAATGACTGGGAATGTTTGAAGGCTTTGCAATATAGGCAGAATCTTGCCAATTCATTCTTTAAGGACCCCACTGCAGTTTTTGATGCCCATGTGCATAAAGTAAGGCATCAGATGGCCATATGGTCAAGATGCTGTTGCTTTAAACCTGCTCACTCTGGCAGCTGCAATAACAGTGACCACTTGACTGCAACAACGCTACGTTTCTCAGATTGTATTCTGATCTGTTCTGCTGCAGCACTGTTGTTAACAGTGCTTGAATTAGCCCTGAGCTGGTGATGGAAATAGTCTCATAGTCACTGCCATGCTGCTGGCAAGCTCAGAGTCTAATCAAAGGAGCTGGCAGAGGCTTAAATGTCTCAGATGGACAAGGAGGAGGCTTTAGATTCTTGACACCTGGTTGGGGCACTGGGCATTAAACTTTCAGGTATTTTATGTCTTATGTTCATAGAATGGCTATGATTGCTCTTCTTGGCTCCCCTGTCCCAGCTTCGCCCTCAGAAATTGGGAAATTTGGCCATGTGATCTTGTTCTAAGATGATAAAATTTTTGATGGGCTGTACCTGCATTTTTCACCCTATACTCTTCCATGCTGGCTCTACTGTCCTCTGATTTTCATAAAAATTGGTGTTCTGTTGAGCCCCTCAGGAAAAAAAGAGTCAAGATACATTCCATAAAAACCAAGCCAGAGACATCCCTGTCCTGAACTCTGGCAATGCTGTTACAAAGCCCATGGTCTGTTACTGGGTACCATATTCCCTGAGCTACTGTGCAGCTCTGTGTGGGCACTGTGAGGAACATGCTGGAGCAGCAGCTGTATTTTTTTTTCCTGTAATTCCTCCTTTGGAGGGGCTGCATATATCAGAAGTCCAACCTCCCAGCCTGAGTGTCCGAAAGGAGGGCTAGAGCAATCCCCCTGCAGGCAAGGCTGAACGGCAGGATTTTGGATGTTGCCCTTGCTTCAACAAAAACAAGCTTAAGGCTGTAGGACCTGGGCAGTGGGAGATCATGTCTGAGAACATTGGCTCTGATTTTTGAAAGCTCCTTTTTCATAACTGCCTATCTAAGTAGTAAGAGAATCGCATCCATACACAAGCAGTAATTGAAGGGGACAATAGAAAAATGAAGCTAAACGATTTATGACAGGGAAGGTTTGAGGTACAGGAAATGGATTGTAATCAGAAAGCCAAAAACATATCTGTGTAAGGGCACACATTTCTGAGGTCAGTGGGTAAGACTGAAAACTGACCTGACAACTTGAGCATTTGTATGCACTAGAAGATTTAGAAAAAAATGGCATGTATCCATTTTTGCTTTCTTTGCTTCACGATTTCTTCATATCTAGTCATATCATTGTATGGTCTGTTATGTTGGGGACATTCTGTCTTCCTTTGTTGGTTTTATTTCTTTTGATATCAGAGTGAAGCATAAATTATTCTACCACCAAGAGAAAGTACCAATCGAGGAATATCAAGTCTTAAGAAATGAGGAACATATATGCCTATGACTCTCCAGTCTTGATGACTTCATTTCCCTGAGGAATGTAAGGGCAATCAGTGTATCAGCATTGACCCTCAAATCACCTCACCTTCCTGTGAAACTCCGGATAGGACCTGGGCTATCTAATCAGAGTCAAATGGACAGCTTCTGTCTTACACAAGAGATGCAGCTGATGAGATCCCAACTCTTTGCATAACTAACTCCTACCATATCAATCTTACTGTTAGCTTCTTTCTTCCCTTGCTTGCTGGATGTCACATTTACTGTTGTCGTATATTCGGTAGAGTAAGTTTCAAGCTTTCCAAAATGTTGTTGTAACAGTGCTGAATAGATTTATTTTATCTATTGCTAGCTAGGAAGAGGAGAAATAGCCTGCTAAAGGTAGGTTTAGGGATAAAAAACTGAGAAAGTAAAAGAGAATTAATTGCATATGACTTAGCAAAGAACTAATGGATTGGAAAAAGAGGTGTAAATGCTTGTGTGTGTGTGAATACTACTAACACAAATAACAGCTGCTTGAGTTCCTAGTGGTTGAAGTCATTAACTACATGGAGAGTTACTTGCAGGGTTACTTATCACTCCTGTAGCTTTTTTTTTCAGTCCTTCTAAGTCCTTAGTGAGATTGGACTCCATCCTGTAAAGGCTTATGCACCCACTTCATTGTGGTGATAAGTGTGGGAGCTGCTCGCTTTTTCAGCTGAGTATGCACTCTAATCTTCAGAGCATCAAGAGTAGCTCTTATTAGATGTATAACTACTGTGTATTCTAGATTTGGCTAAAATGCAGAAACAAACGTTGGCTAATTATGACATTCAGTGATTTTTTTCATTCTCTTTATACTGTCTTTTAAAAATACACACATTACCTCCTGTCCAAAACTGGTTCCCAATATAAATGCTATTTGTTGTCTTGAACTGAGATTGTCTAGTCTTATTTAACATCCTTTTTGAAAAACTCAAAGTAAGCGTTTATTTATTAATTGTTCTGTATTTTCTAAAGAGTTTCAAAGCTGTTACCTGATTTTATAGATTTCCAATTTAGGGGCACTTACAGGGCTTGACTTTTGCAGAAAATCTAGGTCTTGAGGGCTAGTTAATGTGACTAAAATTCCAACTCCTCCAGAGAGACAATTAAATGCTTTAATGCAGATTTCATTTCTCTGTGCTATTTTTGTCCCAAGGTCCTGTCCAGTATTTAGAAATCTGATCACAGGATCTAGGAATAATGTAGTTTGGATGGACCTTTGCACCTTAGAAAGTTTTGCTAGTAATTGTTGTAAAATGACTCTAAGAGTTAGGAATATGTTTTTATTCTCTGATATGTAAAACCAACCATGAAATTAATATTCAGACACAGTAGAGTAGTTCTTTTCATTACTTAAATGGGCTTAATTGGAGTTACAGCAAATTTAGATGGCATACTAGCAGCACTATATAAATTAGGTATGCATTCCTATGAATAATACAGCCATTATCCAATTCCCCTTCTTCCTAATTTCATCCTCTTCCTTAAAAGAAGTTATTGTCACCTACTTAATAAAAATGATATTTTTCTCTTAGGAAAGAAATAATAGAAGAATAAATGGTGCCAAACTATAAGACAACATCAGGAAAGTCACTATGAGCAGCAGTGAAAGCTTTGTTTGGCTTTTTTTTGCAAAATATGCCTTGAGTTTGACTGTGATTTCAGCATGACAAGAAACTGTAATGTGCTATGACCTGCTACATTTAGCAGACAATAGCAAAATTTGGAGTCAGCAACAAAACCTTTCTATTGATCTTTCTGTCCCTCTTTGCATCTACTTTGTGATTGAACAAGATACGTCTGAATATAGCTCTTATAGGCATCCATTGGATTAAGACTTTCTGAAGCAGTGACACAGCTCCCATAACACTACATTTACTGAAGTATTCCTCTCTGTCTGTCAATGGTGTGCACGTGGTGGCTTGATCTCTGTTAGTAACACTGAGAGAAAGGAGATATATCCTTAAGGTCAGGTAAAATTTTTGCAGTTGGATGCAAGTGAAGTGATTTTGTAAGTGTTGCTCAATTAGCAACAGCAGACAGAAAACCCAGGCAGTAGTCTAGGTGATAGGGTGACTTTCAGGTGGCTATGCCCCTGAACTAAACAGTGGCATACTTCTAGCAGCTGTTTGCTTAGATTGTGTTTTTAATAGATGATCACTGAGCGGAGTGGTACTTATTTTCCATTAAAAAAAAAAAAAATTTCCAGCTTTAGAAGACCCATCAAAATGTTCCATTTCCTCTCAGCCTTCATCAAAAGATTGAAACAATTCCATTAAAATAGGACTTTTCTCTTAAACTTTCATTTTTTAAAAAACACTTTTTGAAGAAGAGGTGCCTGGAGCAACAGGACAATTTAACTTTTAATTTGTCTTTAATCTTTTATCCAGCTTCTCAAGAAGCAGGGGGAGATTTTTAGGACCCAAATGAGAATTAAGTTTGCAAAGCCTCTCAGCTTTCATTGGAATATGAATGTTTCTGTCTTTGAACCTTTTAAATATCCTCTCATAACAAAGGTGCTGAGTAAGCGTTTTCTTTCAGCTTGATTGAGGGCCAGATTTTAGGGTCAGAGTTATTTTTTAATGCCTGTTTTAGTATTTTTGGTACTTTCCACTCTCATAGTTATTCAGAAGTGTGCATGAAATGGAAATGTCTTTGAATATTTATCTTGCTTCCCTTTCTATTACTTGCCATGGCTTTTATAGGCTTAATTTTTCTTCAGTATTTATGATACATTTTGCCTAACTTCAATTCTGAGTAGCAGTTGTAACTGAGACTTAATGAAGTTTTTTGATGGTGAATATAGATGCATTCAAATAAAACATTTTATTGTAACATATTCCAAAACTAGCCAGTGGTATTAATTGCACTGTTAGCGATTCAAACAACAAACTGAATTTTTAGTTTGTATAGCCTTACAATAAGAGCTAAGTAAATCACTGATGGCAAAGAAATTAATAAATTACCTGAAGTATCATCTCATGGCATCTTTAGCAACAATTTTATGTTTTCTTTCCTATATTCAGTTGAACTTGTTTATAGATATTCTTTCCTGTACACACTTGAAGTTGTTCACAAATATTTTTAATGAATATTTCTAATAGTTTTTTTTGATCACAGAGTTTTTCTGAGCAGTTGATTGCAAGTAACTGGCAATCAAAATGCAAGCTGTGTTGATTCATTTTTATTAGACACACCACTTACAGGAAGGTATTGTTTCTCTCCCCAGATGGAGGTTCAAGTTCAGGAAAATATTAAAACAGAGATTTCAAAGGGACTTCATAAAATGCTTAAAGGTAAGTATGTTCCTCAGCACTTTACTGAGTCCAGAGTATAATGAGAGTAGTTCTTTAAAGCAAGTTTCTGCTAGTTGTGTTTATGAGTTTAACATACACCTTCTGTCTATGTTCTCCGAGGTTAAATTAAAACTTGCTGCTTCCATAACATCCTTGCCAGGAAATTCACTTGCCAAAAGTATTTGTAGAGAGGGAGCAGAAAATGAATGTGAATGCAACCACAGCAAATGCTGGTTTGATTTGAGTGAATAGTCAGGGTAGTAGGAGGTGTAATTCCAGTGTAATTACCATCTAAACAATGGATGTCATCCATGAAACTACAGGATTTAAAATAAAGGCCTTTTTATGTACATTATCTAGCTACCTCAGTATGGAGAGCCTTTGATAACGCTTTGGGGTTTTTTTCCCCTATTTATAGTCATACAAGACAAGTAGATGTTTATACTTTCAGATTCTTCTCCTTCCCATCAGAACAAGCAATTTTAAAAAGCAATAAGATTGAATCAATTATACACACACATATTGACAGATATGACCATCTTACTTCCATGCTGCCTGGTTTTGTCATGTAATTTAAGGAATGTAATCCACAGGACTGACAATGACAATTTTTCATGTAACCTTGAAAGACAGTTTGTCATGCAGAGGGGCTCAGACCTCATTAAAATCTCATTCCCAGCCAGCATCTGGTGATGGAGGACTTGGTACAGGTACAGAAAGTTCATTGTAGGGTCAGAGCTAGAGGATGGGGATGAAATTTCTTCTGACATCTGCCAGGAGACAGATCTTCTGTGTAGGGTGTTGTCAAAAGACAAGGGCATGTGGTAGACCTTTTTTTGCTGGA